TTGTTTTCCACCTGTAGCAGGTGAAAATCCTTCACTGATAAACATGGTCTGTATCACTTTTCAGCCACTTAGCTGATCACAGCCATTGGGTCTCTCTAACTCAGGTCATGCGGGGTGCACCAGGCTCTGAAAAAGCCCAGACAATGAATGAGGTAAAACACAGTTCACAAATACATGGTCATCTTTTTCCCCTATGCTACTTTCTGAGGAAAAAAATACAGGCCCGTCACTTTTCAAATATACTTCTTGAAAAACTGTATTCACTCAAATTATAGAATTCCATTAACTTCCTTGAAATCTAAAGCTGAGCGTGTTACTACTACCATCCTTTTAACACACCACTCATTATTGCTACAAGAACAGAAAGTGATTATTCACTTTAAAAATGAACACAACTCTTGGACACATGGACTTAAAATAAGAATGTCTTAATTATAATGTTTTGAAATAGTATATTTGCTTACCTTTGAAACATTGCTACTTTCTGGTCTGACTGGATATGCTTGTTCAGCAGATTCACTGACTCTTCCAGAACTACTGTAGTATGCAGAGTTGTTAGCATGATATTGTGAGCTTGCTATTGGGTATACACTTGAAACAACATCGGACGAGTAAGAGCAGCTGGAGTAGTCACTGAGCGTAGTATCTCCCGCAACGCTATGCGAGGGACATGGAGAAAGACATGAGAAGTCACGGGACAAACCCTCAGCATATACTCATTGTCTAGAGTAACACATCACCCCTTGGCTGAAGGATTTGTTTAATACGGAGGCTATACTTCAAAAGAAAAGTAGTCCAAGTTAATTAAATTAAGCATTATAGACTGCTTTTAATAATACTTTAATTCTGTTTTGGAGGAAACAGGTACTTTAGTTAATATTTAAAAATACAGATGTTATCTGAAAACCTATTTCCAAGTTTCAAAGCTAGCCCGTGTTACAGTTACAAGTCCCATTTCTGTGTAACGTTACCAACGTTCTTTCGACTTATTTTTGGTAGGCTTTTTCTTGTGAAACAAACCAAAAGCACAGTATAACTACATGCACTACATATTTGACTGCAAAACATATATATAAAATAGTAAAACCTGTCTTAAAATGCCTCAATAACAACATGAGAGTATAGCACACTACAGGGCATGAGGCATGTATGAAATACAACACAAGATTATAAAACCACCAAAAGCAGAGCTGAACTTAAGCCATCACAGTTTATGAAAACACAGTATGTCTGCATCGTGCCTTTTTTTTCAAAAGTGTACTCAACGTCCTCTTCCAATTTCCTCCCATGCTTTCTGCAGAAACTGTATACTGAGATCCAAATTTGATTAGGGAGGAAGGAAATTTCCCAACTTGAAAAAGTTGCATCTCATTTTTCTAACAGTTTACCATAACCTTGGGTAGATAATGAAAACAGAAAAACATTCTTATCAGAAGAGAAGACTTCAGATAGCACGTTTCTTATTGCCTGTTTAATTTCTGATAGACTGCAGTCAAAGCAACTCTCATTATCACAATTTACAAGCAGAAAAGAAAAATAACACATCTGAGTTAAAATGGTAACTATGGTTCAAACCCAGCAAGGCAAAAAAGTTCACAGGAATACTGCTGCTACCTGCTGGTTTTTTTCAATGTTAAAAAATACTGTAGATCAGGCCACACTCACCTCATTATTAAATTTAAGTTACAAACCAAAATGGGTTGAAAATACTGAGATTTCCCTCTAGGATAAAATGGTTGAGGTACTAAGAAAACTTATAATTAATGTGTTCTCTAAGGCTCTAACCGAACTTCTTAGGACGCTGCGATAATTTTGCAATAATTGCAAAATTTATCCACTGTTTAGTGTTCTGTAGAATTACGGAATGTGACAAGGTTCTTACAAAACTTAGTTATTTCCTATCCTGATAGGTACACTTTATTTCTAGATTGCCCCAGGGTTAACAATAAGTTTATAAATCTACACAGAAGGCCTGTTTCTAGGCCTCATTGGAAAAAAAAATTTAGATCTCCATAACATTCTTAATGAAATTGCCTTTGTAGGGCAGGAGGGTATGAGGGAATGAGAGGGGAAGGAGATGCAGGAAAATCCCACACGTTATTTAAATGTTTTATAGCAAGAGAAACCTTCTTGGAGGATCTTCCTCTTCCACAACTGTATTTATCCCAGCCTGGTCATAACAACTGTTCTGTCACCCAAGGAGCAGATTTAACTCCTTCCCAAATATAAAGCAGGCAGATCAATCGCTACAGACCAACACGACTTTCCCTTCTTCTCTTTAACGCTCAGTAACAATACCGGCCCTCGCGAGCAAGAGACTAGGTAGCAGATGTATGCCCCCAGAACAGAAACGCAAAAACCGAAATCCTGTAGACAATGAACAAGCATTTCTACAGTTAGGATATTAACCTATCCGAGCTCCAACTTGGTATTCAACGTCAGAAACCGGAAAGTTAAAAACGCCCCAAGAAATAAGACTTAGAAAATATACATACTTTTCCAGCGCTGGTTCCTGAACAAATGGGTAGCATGTAGTTAAGTACCTAGGAAAGACACATGCTGCTGAGGGTTCTGACCATGCCACAGTTACCGCCGCGTGTTTGGGAACAAACGGTTTGACCTCTGCTGATAACTTGATGCCCTGAGAAACAAAACGTTTTTTGGCTACATGCATTTTGAGATTATTATTATAAGTGAAAAATATTCATCCTGGTGAGCTTAACCATCCTAGGAAAGAGTTAGTTTGCGCTCTTCTAACAAAACATACAAAACTATAAAGTTCACAGAAAGGAAATTGAGAGAAAGGGAGACGGAATTCTCAGGGAAAACTATTTTCTTTAATGCCCACATTTACCATGAAATACTGACTAAGCTCTGCTACAAAAATGGCAGAGGCCTGCTTGACACAAGAGGCAGTAAACTCCAAAATAAGAATCATTATTTTATATTCTAAAAATATAAACTAAAACTCCCAGCAGGTAACTACCATTTCTCTAAGATCCAACTCTGGAAGTATTCAACAACACTGGCTTTGTGTATATTAGTATTTTTAAGGGAATTTGTGTGAAATGAATATTAAATTAGGCAGACGTCTAACATTTTTGACACATTACAAATCTATTCATATTCATTTTCGTTTGTTCTGGATTACCATCGACTTAAACCAAACATATTTATATGAAGGGATATCAAAATGAGATTCAAAACGTATTTATTGCAAATGACAGTGTTATACAGTTTTACTCATTCTAATTCACGCAACAAGTCATTTTTATAGCCGATGATGTATTTGGGGGTAACTTGACACGCTACAGGAAAATTGGGATCTTTTTACTTCTTGTCAAAGCCCATTTCAATACCTACGATAACACATAAGGCCTTTTAAAATAGAAGAACAGTAATTGCAATGCTTGAGTATGCAAACTAGACTCAGCGCACCCTCTGGTGGCTCAACATTCCCGCCGGTCATAAACATTTAAAGGGGTTTACTGAAGCAAACAACAGATAACTGACAACTCTTTGGGTCCTGAATTTATCAGGCAGATCCAATCTGCACAGAACGTCCATTTTAACGGTGACAAATAAGACAAGAAATTTGAATGCACATGTAAACATATATATATATATACATATACATATATATATATATATATATAAAGTGTCTGTGGGGGGGTGTACGTATATACAAATATATATATATATATACACACATATATACATATACACACACACACACGCATACACACATACAGACTTGTGAGGTAATACTGAACAGCAAGAGAGGTATCAAGAACACCATGTTCACCAAACAAGTAACGTCCTGCAGGAAGCAGCTGTGATTGAAGGCTAACGGCTAACTTTAAGGCCACCTCAGCCCGACTAGGAAATCCATGCGCAACGCAGCGGCGATTTCTGGCTACGTCTTTAAAGGGAGCGGGGCGCCTGGCTGCTCTCTCAGGAAGTGCTTGCTGTACCTAAGCGGCGCCAGGAGTAACGCGTGAGGGGAAACGACCTG